GAGGTTGAGCAACCAATGAAGTCAAAGAAGCAGAGGAAGAAGGAGGCGAAGAGGATGAAAGAGGGCATGGAAGGGGAAAACTTGTCCTGGTATTTGTCATCGTTTTATTCTCAGGTTGTTTTTAGGTTATTAGTTTGATTATTATTAGGTTATTCTTGAGTTACTCCAAAGCGTAGTACTTATTGGCAGCTATTCCATGTTATTCATGTGTTATTTTTAAATTATTCGTAGGTTATTTATAAGTTAGGTGTATCTTATTCGCTCTTAAACCTGGGTTATTTTTAGGTTATTTTTAGGTTATTTGTAGGTTATTTTTCAGGTTATTCGTAGGTTATTCGTAGGTTATTCTTCGGTTATTTTTAAGTTAACTCGTGGGTTATTTTTAGTTTATTCTCAGGTTATTTCTGGGTTATTTTTAGTGTATTGTTTTGTTAATTTTGAAATAATTCGTAGGTTATTTTTAAGTTATGAGTAGGTTATTATTAGGTTATTTCTGGCTGATTTTGAGGATATTTTTAAGTTATATTTAGGTTATTCCTGGGTATTTTTAAGTTATTTGCAGGTTTATGCGCAGGTAGGTTATTCATAGGTTATTCCTAGGGTATTTTTAGGGTATTGTGCGTATGTTATTCGTAGGTTATTTGTACGTTATTTTTAGTGTATTGTTTTGTTAATTCTGAAGTAATGCGTAGGTTTTTTTTAAGTTATGAGTAGGTTATTACTAGATAATTCCTGGTTGATTTTGAGGATATTTTTAAATTATTTTTATGTTATTCCTGGGTTATTTTTAAGTTATTAGCAGGTTTAAGCATTAGCAGGTTTATGCGCGGATTATTCATAAGTTATTCCTAGGGTATTTTTAGGTTATGTCAGGTTATTCGTAGACTATTTGTACGTTATTTTTAGTGTATTGTTTTGTTAATTCTGAAGTAATGCGTAGGTTTTTTTTTAAGTTATGAGTAGGTTATTACTAGGTAATTCCTGGGTGATTTTGAGGATATTTTTAAGTTATTTTTATGTTATTCTTAGGTTATTCCTGGGTTATTCTTAAGTTATTAGCAGGTTTATGCGCGGATTATTCATAAGTTATTCCTAGGGTATTTTTAGGTTATGTCAGGTTATTCGTAGACTATTTGTACGTTATTTTTAGTGTATTATTTTATTAATTCTGAAGTAATGCGTAGATTTTTTTTAAAGTTATGAGTAGGTTATTGTTAGGTTATTCCTGACTGATTTTATAGATATTTTTAAGTTATTTTTAGGTTATTCCTAGGTTATTCCTGAGTTATTTTTAAGTTATTTGCAGGTTTATGCACATGTTATTCATAGGTTATTCCTAGGGTATTTTAAGGTATTGTGCGTATGTTATTCGTAGGTTATTTGTTGATGTAGTTTTAGGGTATTCCAGTATTAATAACAATATTAATAATATGCATCTTATTCCTGTATATTGATGACTAAAATTCTTTGGTTATTCTAGTGTTAATAACATGCATCTTATTCCTATAGGTTGATGAATAAATAGTCAATGAATTGTAGATGCCGACCATCAGCAGTTAGAGAGGTGTTGGATAAGGTTCGACCAATTGTTGATCGGGAGATGTGGTCAACTCTGGAAAGAATGAAGCTTAATCAGTTTTTCGATCTGCCTCCCTATCCTCAAGATCACATCCTAACTATGCACATATTGAATTGTTGGGATATGAATAGATTGGCTTTCAGATTGTGGGAGAAAAAGCTAAGTTTTGATACAGATCAAGTTGCTTTGTTGATTGACATGCCCAACAGAGGTCCTACAGTAACTTGGGCTAAAAAACTCGTCAATGACGTAGATGCAAGGCGGGCAAAGAGTGAACTATTGGAGAGTTCTTCTGCTAGTGTTGATAAACTTATTATTAAATTTTTGTTGTCTAATTTATTATTTTCTTCCAACAATTTTAGTGTACCCACTGGGCTCTATTCATTTGCTGAGAATGTAGATAGTTTTTCTTCATTTAATTGGGCCGCAACAGTATGTGACCACCTAATTGAGCAGGTCAATGTTTGCGCCATGAAAATAAGGATGGGCCAGTCATTGTGATACATGAACGGCTTTGTTTTTCTTCTAACGGTTAGTATATTGCTCAACCTCAATCAGAAAAACTTTTTTCTTCTTATTTGGGTTATATTAATTTTTGATTTATTAATCGTGTTTATGCAACTGTGGTTTTATGAGCGCACACTTGTGATAACCCCGGCTCATCCTGACGCCAGACCTCGTATGTTGAGGTGGCCAATAAATACAGGGTGGAACCCTCTGAAGATCCATTTAATCTTTAAGCAGCTTAGTCCTGTACAGGTGAATGATATTAATGTTTGTTTTAAGTTCAGGATTATGTTTAGTATTTTGCTACCTTATTTAATTCTTATGATGAATGTTTTTTGCAGATTCTTGATTCTTTTGTTGATTTAATAGACGAGGAGCATAACTTACTTGCCCCTCTAGCTGACCCACTCTCGTCTCCTGCAAAGTCAATTGGAGAACCAGAAATTCACACTCATCAAACAACACCAAAGTCTCATGGTGATATTCCTTTTGTACATAGTCGCAGTATCCCGCCACCCACACAGTCACATTTGGGTTTAGAAGAGATATGACAAACTTTGAGGGAACAACAACAAATTTTAGTTCAATTGAAGGATTCAGTAAACAACCTAAGATTTTTTTTGGAGTATACACTGATGGAGGTGAAGACCGATATCAACAAAATAAAGAGAAAAATAAATAAAGTTCCCATGGAATCTCCTGTAAGTTCTGAATTTACTGGGAAGAAAGATAGCCCAGAAAAGGAAGAAGAACCACCTGCTCATATTGAGCAAGCGTCGGAACAAGAGTGGGGACCTCCGGGTATTCTCAGGTTACTCTCGGGGTATTTTCAGCTTACTCTCCGGGTATTCTCAGGTTATTATCGGGGTATTCTCAGGTTATTCTTGGGGTATTGTCAGGTTATTCTCGGGGTATTCTCAGGTTATTCTCGGGGTATTCTCAGGTTATTCTTGGAGGTATTCTCAGGTAATTCTCCGGGTATTGTCAGGTTATTCTCCGGGTATTCTCAGGTTATTGTTGGGGTATTCTCAGGTTATTCTCGGCGTATTCTCAGGTTATTCTCGGCGTATTCTCAGGTTATTCCCGAGGTATTGTAAGGTTATTGTTGGGGTATTTTTAGGTTTCTCTTGGGGTATTGTAAGGTTATTGTCGGGGTATTGTTAGATTATCCTTGGGGTATTCTAAGGTTATTATTGGGGTATTCTAAGGTTATGGTTAGGGTATTGTAAGGTTACTCTTGGGTTATTCCACAAGCAGATAACAAAATTCTGTACTCAACAGACAGATAAATTACAAACCATATATCTAGAACTTCCAATTGGAATAATGTTATATGAACTTGTACATTGATACAAATGAGTTAACGTGGGCATAACACGTTATAACAGGTGAATTATATTGGGCACAGAGCATGTTGGATTCGATGTGACAATTTCCTGACTCAGAGAGTTTGACGCCGCAATCGTATTTGCGTCGTAATTCCTGTGTGATTCTTGTGTCATATATGTTTCTTGATTTTTTTCTGCGAACTGTGGTAAAATAATAAGACAATTAATTTTACGTATAATCGTTAGTATATGGAATGTAGAATGGTAAATATATGTAATGTAGAGATATATACATTTAGCTCTCTTGTTTTTTTCCCAGTGTCCTTTCAACCTCGCATTAGAAATACCTTTCGGTCTCATTTTTGCAGGATCATTCACATTGCAGTCACTGTTATGGGATTTCCTCTTTTATTTTGGCCTATTTGGTTTAGGATCCTTTCTATCTAATATATCCTCAATACCTTCGAACCCTGTTTTCAATAATTCAATTATATATGTCTCGGCACGTTCATTTCTGTTAGCTTTATTAATTAATTGGTAGACAAACTTTTGAGCATGTGACCGAAATAGGATTCCTCTGGATGTTGTGCCAGAAATTTGAGCCCGAGAGTTTTTCATATGTTTGTATCCAAAACTATTATAGATATCTTTCTTTGCCTTAGCAGACCATCTGAATCACAAAATTTCTCGGGAATCTTTGTTATATTATTAGCATTAAGGACGCGTAGACAGTGAGAGCAAAGCAGTCCTGTCATTTCGAATTTCTTGCAACTGCAGGTGATGTCGCAATTA